ATGGACCTTTATCATGTGCTGGGAGTTTTGATCAATATTTTACATACATTTTCTCATTTAATACACACAATAAATGCAAGAAAGAGAAAATCATTTCTTCATATTAAAAATAAGGAACTGAGGCTGAAAGTTTAAATAAACTGCCCAAATTCTCATAGCTAGTTATTGGCACACTAAGTATACACACCCAGTCGGCTCACACTTAGAGCCTGCCTTTGTAATCCTCGAATCCAAATTATACGGACTTTATTTGCAAGACTTTTTCTCTCAAATCATTGAGAATAACAATTGTAGTTGATCAGGTGTTTCTTCAACACAGATGCTAGTTAGGCCTCTAACTGATCCTTCAATTAGGAAGGCAAATACTCTTTCTCTACCAACTACCTGTGAGTGCCTGAGGGATTAGAATATGTTATCATACCTTTCCAAAACCCTCTCAAAGGCTTTGTACTTTTCAGTGTATTTCCATACATTGTAACAGGATTCCATCTCTTCCTTTCTTCTAAAAGACTCTGTTACTTTTCTTATGTTCCTTACTGTATCTTGCTTAGTAGAAATAAGTACTCATGTACATTTATTCTCCCTCTTCTCCTAGATTATGAAGTTTGTTGAGGGCAAGCATTTGATTTTATTTACATTTAATCAAATATTTATTAGTAGTGTGTTCATAAACAGGTATTGCTTTATTATCTGTGTGAAAAAAATAAACTCTTAATAATACTTTTTAACTGAGGTAAATATCATAAAAATCAATTATGCCTTTCTGATACAGACCCCTTTTCTCCAACAACAAATAAAGCCTAAAAGTATTAGCTTTGCTAGAAAAATTGCACATTTCTTCTGTTGGAATTAATTTTAAAAAGTTTTTCGACTTCCATCTTAGTCAGTGCATTATCTTGGTATGTTTTAGTCTTGGCTTTTCTTACCAGTGGACTCAGATTTGAGAATGAAAAAGGAAAACATCAGCATGATTTTAATATATGCGAATTCACCATATCTCATAGTAGGATTGATTTATTTCAGACAAACACTTTCCTTTAAACAATGTTTTTCCTTAAAATTAGCACTGCAGTTTGGTAACTACATAACAGAAAGGACTTGAAAAGCAGTTTACAAATCCAGTTCAACAATCAAACTGTCTTAGCTGGTGGCATATAGAACAAAACCCTGGGAGACAGGAAGAACAAAGCTGCTTCTGGGTGTCTGGAACAGCTGGGGTGTAAGGGCAGGCCTCTTCACTGAGGATCAGACTTGGGGGCCAATTCCAACGGGGTCATTTCTAGCTCTTAACAGAGTTTCTGAATTTATTCTGTTGGTGGAGATGAGGAAGGGAAGGCGCATGTGTCAGTTCATCATCCTCAAAATCTGGAGCTCCGGGACCTTCAGAACGGAGATGTTTGCGGGGTGGCAGGAATAAGCATGACATATGGGTTACACAGTAGTAAGAAACGGGCAGGAGGAAAGTGAAGAGAGGAAGCGTAATAAAGCGAAGGAAGCAGGAGGAGGGAACAGGGAAGACTGGTGAGAAAGGAGAGAAAGAGAATAATAAAGTGAGTATAGCGATGTGCTCTCTGTTCGTCCATCATAACCAGCTGCTTCCTGGACCTGTAGAATGTGGACACTGGGACACTTTTTCTGGATCCTGTCAGAATTTTTTCTTCCTAAGGGCATCAGAGTCAACATGGGGACTGCCTGGCACCTTTTATAGTCAGATGTGTTGTTAATCCTTAGCAAGGCTTAATCACCAAAAGAGGCCTCTTGTTTGACAGGATGCCATTAGTCAATTTTCATATTCTGACTCCTATCAAGTTCCTACAAATGTAGAAAACTTCTGATGAAGGACAGGGTCAACCTACTAACAGCTTTGTCTCAGCAAAGGACAGAATCTGGAATCCTTAATAGTTCCATGTCTGTGTCCGTTCGGATCAATGTTTGGTAGGCCCTTACTAGAAGTGTCAACTCTGGCAAGACATTGGGGGCAGAGAGATAGGTAAGACACTGTCTTTATCTCCTGAGAGAGGAATACAAGGAAATAGTTCCAATGTCACATGACTCATACAGTTATATAAGTCTGAGGATTAAAAACAGGTTGGTAATGTTTGTGCCATTACAATTAATTCAGTTGCTGGACCTTTAAAAGTAACACAAGAAATTGCAATAGTTGAGAGACAGTAGGAGTTAGAGAATATAAGACATTTGAGGTTGTCTGAGCAATGTTGAGCTTCATCTCCTGGATATTGGGAATCATGAGAGGACTTTAATAGGAAAGTCACATGATCTGTTTAGTGCTAATAGACCACTCTGATATCCAGGGGGAGGGCAATTTTGAGGGACATCACGCTAGAAGTGAAGAAACCAATTAGTAGGGTAAGCATACATCTCAGCTTTCCTGGAACAAGTGCAAATTAATGCTCTTTTTTTCTATCATGTGTCCTAGTTTGGATGATAAATTCTATCTAATTCTACTAACTAGAAGTTTATTGCAGAGGTCCAGGTAAGATTTTATGATGTCCAGAGTTTATCAGGGCTTGGCTAAGTGGACGGAAAGGAGCTGCTGCCCAACACTGTCAATAAGTACAGGCACTTTGACATCTATAGAAACCTCTTATATCCACCCCACGCAGGCCTGGGCAGGGATACAAGAGATTCCAGTGAAAATTTAATATATCAATTGAATGCTAAATATTACAAATATATATGGCTAACTGGTTAACCACTCAGTGGTCTCGCTGTTTGTCAGCTCAGATTATACTTGTCTGAGAAATCTGAAAAGAAATGAGAAGGAAAGTCATAAGGAACTGGAAAAGAAAGTCAGAAAGATAACTCTCAGTTGTGCAGGGATGAAAGGCTTTGCCGCTGTTCTTAATGTGGAGCTGAATTTTCATGGACAGTTTTGACTCTTGCTTGAGAATAGCAGAAAGGGCCGTTGAAAGCTTGTTAAAGTTTCATCAGTCTGCAGTCATTATAACCTTGGAAGATAGTAAGTACAGAGGCAATTTAGTCAACTTAAAGAAACAATTGTTTGTTTCCTAGTACACATATTTCATCATGAGCGGTCACTTGGGCCTCCCTTTAGAACCCAGAAAAGGTTATTCGGTTGTAATAATTAGGGAATATTTTAAAAAGGAATCAAGCAACTAGCCCCAGGAGAAAAGAGATGTTGCCATCAGGAATACACTTTAGCAGAAGAAAAAGAATATGAGTAAGTGTAATGAAAAGAGTGAGGAGCTGTCATTTTCTTTATTTTATTTTTAAATGTTCTTCCTTCCAGTTCTCATTTTGTACATATGAGGCAGCTTTCCTTCACTCGAATGCCACTGTTACCTTGTATTAATATAGTGCTTATCTACTAGAAGCTCACAGGGCAGCCTCGGAATCCATGCCACTCTAGAAAGTATTGCTTATTTCATCTGTCATATCATGAAATGTTCTAGCGGGAGCTGGAAGCTGGATTTGCCGTAGGCTGCTGATTTCGCATTGGGCTGCACACATGCATGTCACAGCTCCACAGTTGTCCAGGCAAGAGAAGACATTGGGTAATTTTGAAACTAGGAGCCAGGCCTGCAATTATCCCTTTGCTTTCAACTGTGACTCAGGGAGGTGTTTCTAATCTGCAAAGAATTACCCAGTTTGCTGATTTACCTTCATGGCTCTTGATGTCCTTGAAATATTTCTGTTTGGGAGCTCTGTGTGTCCTCAGGCAAGACAATTTGCTTAAATTGTAAACTTCACACTCCCCCTCTATTGACACTTTTCAGACTGTCATTTGTAGAATTTCATTTACCAGATTTACTTCCTCTGGCTTTTGCTGCAGAGAAATAGAATTGAAGTAGAAGTCCTCTGAGGTGGATGGGGGTGGATTTGGAGATGGAAATATTTTAGTAGTAACTTCAGAATTTTTTACTGCAGCTATGTTATTCTTTAAAAAATGCATGCTTCCAAAGCATCCATAATTCAATGAAATCAAACTCAAATAATTGCCTTGGACTCACTAAAAGTTGGTCCCTTCACATTTTTCATTTAGCTAACAATTGGTTTTTAGAAAAGTAAAATAGGTGAAAAGTAATGTTTGGCCTTTGTGTGCTGCTGGAAGACAAAAATATTCTTGCTAGGTGCTTTTAAAGTCTCAGTGAGCCATTCCTGTTTCTCTGCCTCCTCCCCCTCTTCTCTTTTCTACGCCTTTCCTCACCTTCCGCTGAAGGGTTAGGCGAACACTATGCTCATTCACTATTGTGAAAACACTTCAGAATAGATAAAGTAGAAGGGAAGGAATAGGACATTTCTTTCAATCTTTGGCATTTAAGTTTGTTTATTTTTATAAAATCTTTAAATTGGTCAACAACAGAGAATATCGGATAGATTTATGAGGCGAATTTTTGTCACTTTGAGGTATATTTGATAAATAAAATAATATTAATAATGTTGGTTTTTCACTGAACTGAATGCCTTCTGTGAAACTGGGTAGTCCCAGGCCCATAACATACATTGTCCATAATCCTTAGAGTGACCAAGGAATGAATCAAATGTATGCATCAGAATAAGCTCAGGTGTCAGTGCTCAAGTGTAAAGTGCTCAATTACACACACAATTACTAAATCACAGTCAATGTCAGTTCAAATTAGAACGAAATTATGTCACCGACATGTTTTTTTGAGCACCAGCTAAAAGAGCTGAGAGCAATTTTCTCTTAGCATCCTTGATATTATGGTTGTATGTAAAATATGCACACGCACACACACACATAAAATAAAAAGTGACAAATTTTGTCCAAGTCCCCAGCATTTAATTAAAAATACAAAGCGAAAATGTATGTGTTATAACTGTTAGAGGGATATATTTTGTAATGGGCTTCACTTTTTCGCACTGGGTAGATTGATATTTTATAAAGGCTTTGTTGCTATGTACCTAAAAATAGCCTTTTCTCTTCTTCATATCATAATGTCATTGCACTCTGATTAGAGGGTAATTAGTTAATAAACCCCACTTTTTGTTTATTCTAGGATTCAAGAAGGATTAATAAAACACCACCACATAGTAATGCAGTTATTACAATGATCTATTTGGGGAAAAATGTGCACCTATCTTATAATTACCCAGACTTCGGGGATGAAATAAAAGTTTATCAACAGCACTGTGGTGGAGAAAATCTTTGCGTCTACAAAGGCAAACTGCTTGAAAAAGGTACTCATAAAATGTGAATTCTTTTTAAGTGCTTAAAGTTAATGTTATAAAGTATTGTTGATCTCAGAATGACTTCAATTTCTCTGTGAAATTCAGCATATCCAGGGACTTATAAACCAGCTGCATCAAAGTGAATCTGGATTTACTGCTCCATGATTAAAATTGGAGCAGCAATTACTCTTACAGATTGTGAAAGAAAGAATTTGGAGTGACTTAACCCAGTAACAGATTAATTTGGGGATAGAGATATATGATCATTAAAATGTTGCACGAATAAACTGTTCCCCAAATTACAAGTTACTTATTTGGCTTGCCATAGTGAATTATATCATATATTATCCTAAGAGAAAAATACCAGATTGGCAATTTGTTCCTTAGAAGTATGTTGAGATAAAAATCACAAATCCAATAAACTTTAGGGTGAATCACACCTAAATAACGTGGTGCAGAATTTAGCCAAATGCATTTAGCACATTTCCACTTTCATTTGATCATAAATCCATGTTTGTTAGTATTGGGGAGGAGGAAATTTTCTTCTACACTTTTAGGTTTTAGCTGGTCTAAGAATTAAATTGACATGAGCTAGATTAATAAGAGAAAAATCACCAAATTTAACTGTGTACGTACATACAGGGGTTCCATAAGAATGAAAGCCCAGCCCGGCTGGGCATGGCTCAGCGGTTGAGCATCGACCTAGGATCCAGGCGATCGGGGTTCGATTCCCGGTCAGGGCACATGCCCGGGTTGCGGGCTGCAGCCGATCAATGACTCTCTCTTCATTTATGTTCCTATCTCTCTCTCTCCCTCTCCTTTCCTCTCTCTGAAATCAATAAAGATATATTTAAAAAAAAAAAAAGGAAAGAAAGCCCAGAGACAAATTGAGCAGTTGCGTCTTATATGCCTTTCTGAACTAAGGAGAAGGGGTAGGGGTCTGGGACTTCAAAGGGTAGGAAGGCAATTCACATGGAGATGGGAAAGCAAATGTTCAGTAAGCAAGTAATGTGTGCTGGGCCCTGCAGAGACAAGAGGACACAGAGTGATTTTGATCTTCAGTCTTTGCTCAGTCTCCCCCACCACACTACTTCATATTATATTAGAGTGATCGATGGTGATAGCTCCCTTCCTGGAACAGTTCCTCTATCTAAATTTTTTAAGCAGTAAGGGAGAAGGTCAAGGTTCTTCTGAGCCTTTTGTTTCTTAAAAATAATCAGCTTAAAATAATCAATATCCCAAAAAGACATGTTTTGGCAGCTACTCTGCCTCCCTTAATTAGCACAAAATAATTTTTATATTCCATATAGGGTTTCACATATTTTACTGAAGTGGATTTTGTCAATACTTAATCTGTGGGACAGCAAGTAAAAGGAAGAGTTGTTACAGGATTATACATGGGTGGGCAAAAGTAGGTTTACAGTTTATATGGAAAAATAAAAATTAATAAATAAATAATAATACAAGAAGAAACTGTTTTGTGTACTCACAACTATAAACCTACTTTTGCACACCTCTGTATTTGTTATTTCCTTGCTTGAGAAACTCTGGTTAGAAAGTAATAGAGCTTTCACTAATTAAAAGAAGTATTTATATGTGGTTAGTAATCTTGATATAAACTTAGGGGTTAAGGGAGGAGTTGGGGCAAATGTGGAGTTGTTACTTTTGGGTTTTCTGTTTTCCCTCATCAAGAAAACAAATANCTTATATGCCTTTCTGAACTAAGGAGAAGGGGTAGGGGTCTGGGACTTCAAAGGGTAGGAAGGCAATTCACATGGAGATGGGAAAGCAAATGTTCAGTAAGCAAGTAATGTGTGCTGGGCCCTGCAGAGACAAGAGGACACAGAGTGATTTTGATCTTCAGTCTTTGCTCAGTCTCCCCCACCACACTACTTCATATTATATTAGAGTGATCGATGGTGATAGCTCCCTTCCTGGAACAGTTCCTCTATCTAAATTTTTTAAGCAGTAAGGGAGAAGGTCAAGGTTCTTCTGAGCCTTTTGTTTCTTAAAAATAATCAGCTTAAAATAATCAATATCCCAAAAAGACATGTTTTGGCAGCTACTCTGCCTCCCTTAATTAGCACAAAATAATTTTTATATTCCATATAGGGTTTCACATATTTTACTGAAGTGGATTTTGTCAATACTTAATCTGTGGGACAGCAAGTAAAAGGAAGAGTTGTTACAGGATTATACATGGGTGGGCAAAAGTAGGTTTACAGTTTATATGGAAAAATAAAAATTAATAAATAAATAATAATACAAGAAGAAACTGTTTTGTGTACTCACAACTATAAACCTACTTTTGCACACCTCTGTATTTGTTATTTCCTTGCTTGAGAAACTCTGGTTAGAAAGTAATAGAGCTTTCACTAATTAAAAGAAGTATTTATATGTGGTTAGTAATCTTGATATAAACTTAGGGGTTAAGGGAGGAGTTGGGGCAAATGTGGAGTTGTTACTTTTGGGTTTTCTGTTTTCCCTCATCAAGAAAACAAATATTAATTTAAAAAATTCAAGTACTTAAAGAGAAACTATATATATTTAGGGATTAAATATTAAAGCTTTCCAACATAAGAAAGGGTAAACACTTGAATGTTAATTTTTTTAAAAATATGTTTTTATTGATTTCAGAGAGAGGAAGGGAGAGAGAGAGAGATAGAAACATCAATGATGAGAGAAAGTCATCTATCAGCTGCCTCCTGCACGCCCCCTACTGGGGATTGAGCCAGGAACCCTGACATGTGCCCTGACCAGGAATCGAACCGCAATCTTGATGCTCAACCACTGAACTACACCAGCCAGGCTTGAATGTTAATTTTAATTTAAAGTAAAACATGTAATATTTTACTTTATAAAAATGTATGTTTTACATATCTATATATAAAATTTATAAAAAAAAATAAGGCTCAATAATGCTGGAAATATTTCCCTCCATTTTATATACTTGGCTGAAATATAATTTACTTTGTGTCATTTTCATAGCATTTGAGAGTTTATTCCTTCCATTTTGTAGACGAGGAAAATGAGAGGAGTCCAGAGGTACAGGCTTCCCACGGTCACACGTGCAGCTCTGGGCAGAGTCAAGAGCAGATCCTGTCCCCTGACTAGGTTCAGGGTCTTTGATTAGTACTTTCTAGCTCCAGTTAGCTATTCTCAGTAGCAAAGAGCTTCCTACATTTTCATAATGTGATAGGGATGGAACTGCTGATGCTGGTGGCATAGATACATGCACTTATTTTTTTAAAGTATAACTTTCAACTATTAATTTAAGAGAATTGCTGAAATTAGCTATAGTCTTAAATTGGAATTAACATAATGAAACTCTTCCTGGGTCTTAAATCATTCTTTAAGAAAATACATATGTAATGTCTGTTTGCTGGAAAACATAGCACATACAAATGAAAAAAACAAGACTTAACTGAATGATTTTCTGGGAGATGATATACACTCTGTGATTAGCGTGTAAAACCAAAGGTTACAAGAGAGTGTTCCGTGGTTAAGTGTTCTTTTGCATACATATTGGTCCCGGGACTGTCTTTTTGTTATGTCATCGGACAGTCTTGAATTATAGGATGGAATCTGGACATAAATAATTGAATCCTGTCCTCACAATAATTTTGTCTCAGCTTGCCCTTGATTGCCAGGAAAGTAATTATTCAAAATTGAAAAGTGCGGTGATTCAGAGTTGACTTGTGGTTCAGCAATCTTAGCAATTTAGCTGAACTGAAAAGAATCTGCCCTTTTTAAAAATCAAAGCTGTGTAAGATTCAATGAAATGTGAATAGGTTTTTAGAAGATTTCTATTTAAAAAACACCACATTTAACGTTATGCTTGGAGCAGAAAACTCATTAAAAAATGTGGCATTCATTAACTTGTCTTGCTGTTGGATGAGAAATAACAATAAAATGAATTATTTAGTAGTGTGGCAAGTGCATCTTTTATTCCCATAGTGATTCATGATGTCTTGTGGTTTGATCTGAGACATCAAACCACACTTTGGTTGTTTATTATGTACACCTAGGAAGTCACCGTAAATTTCTGCGACTTGTGAAGAGTGCAGCTCTTCACCGGCATTTTCATTGGCCATGTTCATCATCAACAAGGCAAACCCCGGCCTCCTGGGTTCATGTGGATACAAAGAATTAAGGAGCTGTTTTCTGGCCCTCTTATAATCTCTCCCTTTTCTGCTCTATTATCTTGTATTTCCAAACCTGATTCTATTGTAACTATTTGTGTATTCCACAGTACTCCCCCCACCCCCCAATTCTGTTCTCTTGTCTTTTTGTGTGATATTTCTTTTGTCCACAATAGAACAATGGATTTCAAATTCAAAATAGAATTTTAAATTTAAATCTTCCCCATCTTTTATGATTCAGAATTAAGCTGTGAAACTTTCTCGGCTTCTATTCTGTGTTATCCATCTCTCTTGATGGCAACGGCTCTTATTCTACACTTAAAACCAAAGCATTTAATTGGACTGGGACTTACATTAATTGTTTTTGTTTGTTTTTTAAATTTCTCTTTCACTGTTACCATATATTGATTATTTTTGTTTTTAAAAAATAGCTTCAATGAGGTGTAACATTCATTATCCTAAGTGTACGACTAATTAATATTTAGAAATTTTGTAGAATTGCACAGCCATTATCTATCACAAGCCAGCTCTAGAACATCTCCATCACTTCTAAAAGTTTCCTTGTACCCACTAGCAGTTAATTCCCATTCTCATAGCCAGTCCCAGGCAACCACTGACTTGCTTTCAGTCTCTACAGGTTTGCCTTTTTGGACATTTCTAATAAATGAAATTATACAATAGGTAGTATTTTGAGTCTTGCTTCTTTCGCTTAGCATAATGTTTTTGAGAGTTATCTGTTTGTAGCATCTATCAATAGCTTCTCTCTTATATCACTGAATACATATTTTCCAACACAGGTTTTATTTATCCATCCCCAGTTGATGGACATTTGTATTGTTTCCACTTTTAGGGCTATTATTAATCATGCCATTATGAATATACAAATATAAATTTTTATGTAGACATCTGTTTTCATTTCTCTCCAGTAAATCCTAGGAGTGGGTTTGATGGCTTTCCCCCCACTGTGTATGGGTCACATTTTCTTCTTTCTTTACATGTCTTTTAACTTTTTGTTGAGAACTGAACATTTTAGATCATGTATTAGAGCAACTATGGAGTTTGGATTTTGACTTTTCCCTCTTGAAGATTATTGTTCTTGCTGTTTGTTGTTGTTTGTTTGGTAACTTACCTGGACCAATTTTATGAAATTCACTCTCTCTCATTGGTATACAACTAGTGATGTCTCTGCTCATATATATATTTTTAATCCTATTTTTCATTTTTTAGGCTAGTCTCTTAGGATTGTCTCTGTGTCTTTGTAGTTTAGTGATCATCCAGTCATTTGTCAAAGGTAATGTTCAAAAACTTTGACCCATTAAAGCCGCCACCTCATGCAAATGGATCTATTTGAGGGTGTATCAGTTTCTTGAGTTCGCCTAAAAAATGCCCCCCAAATTGGTGGCTGAAAACAATAGAAATTTATCCTGTCACAGTTTTGGAGGCAGAAGTCTAATCCCAAGGTATTAGCAGGTTCTTGTTCCCTCTAAAAGCTCCAGGGGAAAATCCTTCCTTGTCTCTTCCAACTTTTGGTGATTCCCAGCAATCCTTGGCATTCTTTGGCTTGTAGCTCCATCAATCCAGCCCCTGCTTCTGTCTTCACATGTCATGTTTCTCTGTGTGTCTTTGTGTGTGTCCTCTCCTCTTCTTCTAAGGACACCAGTCATTGGAATCAGGCAAAAAAAAATTCAGGATGACCTCAACTTGATACTTCACAAATTATATCTGCAAAGACCCTATTTCCAAATTGGGTCCCATTCTGAGGTTCTGGGTGGTCATGAATTTTTAGAGGGCAATGTTCAATCTGCTGTAGTGGGTTCAAGAGTACATTCAGCCTGGCGGGCGAGCCTCAGTGGTTGAGCATGGATCTAGGATCCAGGAGATCAAGATTCCATTCCCGGTCAGGGCACATGCCGTGGTTGCAGACTCGATCCCCAGTAGGGGCCTGCAGGAGGCAGCCAATGGATGACTCATCATTGATATTTCTATCTCTCTCTCTTCCTCTCCCTTTCTCTCTCTAAAATCAATAAAGACATTTAAAAAAAAAAAAAAATAGAAAAATACATTCAAAGTTTAGGCAGTTTTTAAGTCTGCTCCAGCTTCGATTTTTTACCAGGCTCTCTTGTGTTTCCTTTATTCATGGATGCAAACTCCCAGTTGGCCAGGGATGTGTGAACAGGTTGAGCCTACTCCAATCCATGCCATTTCCAGTTAGCCAAGGATGTGTATAAAGCTTACAGAATGTGTAGGGGAGGGAGGGGACAATTTCCCCCTTCGCTTCTTTGTTTCTTTGGGCTGGTCAAATAATTAAAATGATGTAAAACATTAACAAGAGAAAATCTAACAGATACGTTCAGAGAATCTGCACAAACATAAGAGATTCCAAAGAGAGCTAGGCAAGATGAGATATATATGTCATTCTGGACTCAGGAAAAGGAGGAGAGATCTGGAATTTCAAAGGGAAGTAAGATAATACACAAGTACATGAAAAGGGTAAATTTTTGGTAACCAAATATTTGCTAGGCCATACAGAAACAATGGGACAGAGAGAGAAAACTTTAATCAAATGGGCCTTGCTAGGTTCCTTTTCTCCATGTCTATCACATCTAGTTTGTATTAAACTATGGTTATGTATGATGATAGTTTCCTTTATTGAGCAGGTCCTCTAACTTCTTTTAGGCAATTAGGAGGAATGTCAATGGTTCTCTCTGAGTCTTATTTCCTAAAAATAATCAGCCTAAAATAATCCTTATGCCACAGAGACACATCGTGGGGTGGCAAATTTTGCTCCCCTACAAATGCATCTATGATTGCCTTATTACCTGCATCTCCTGGCTAAGTTTCCTGCTAGTCCACTGGCCTGTTGCTTGCCCTAATTAGAACTACAGTTTCAGGCTAGCGAAACCTCTGGCCTTCTATGTTAGCTTGCCTCCCAGATTGCTACTTATTAGTGGTACTCCCACTGGCCAGGGTTATTCTGTCTTCTGTTCCAAATCAAGTCAGCCCCACTGGCAGTGAAGCTGCTGATTATTTATGGCCCGCCCGACCCTATTAGAACTACAGTGATGAAACAGTGGCAGGTGAGTGGGATGGGAGCAGCCTCAGGCAAGGATGCCTCAGATTTCCACTGTTCTTACCGAAAGTTCAGTAAATTTTCATGAATAACTGTTGCTCAGTTTATTTTAAGCCTTTGGTCCATTTTCAGAGACACCATTTTAAAGGGAGAGAGTTTGGTGACCTCACTCCAGAAGTCTGGTATGTTCATTTTGTTTCTCCTGCTAAATCATGACTTCTTGAAGGAGGAGACCAAATTTGACTTTTTTTAGTATTTTTGTTTCTCCATAGTGCCTATGATAATGCTGCCCATTGTCAGTCAACAATGAATAACTACATTTTATAAATATTACAGAATGCTTTCCAATACTGTACCTTATATAATCTTTAAGACTACTCTGCGAAGTGGGTAGTCTGGGTCACCCCCTCCGCCTCACTCCCTCACCCACTCCTCCTGCCATCTCCATTTCACAGATGAGAATTCAGAAATGCAAATCTCTAGCCTATCTTCTTGCCACTACTCCATGTAGAAACCATCAAGTCAGGGTTGGGAAGTGATGCTAGAATTTAAAATACAAAACTATAAAATAATTAACAAGGGAATAAAGGCGGAGGATGTCAATTCTTGTTCAACAGTTTGAAAAAAGAAAAAAGAAAGAAATGAAACTAATAGGTAGATCCGCTCTCAGGTCACATGAGTACCAAGTGGAAGAGCAGCCACACCTGGAAGCTGACGTCCTGAGCCCATTCTCAGCCTTTCCCTCTGTGCACTCTCTTCCTCGGCTGGGTGAGGCCTCGGGGGTGAGGCTGCAGCTGAATGGATCATATCACATGAATGCCCCGTTCAGGTTTCTGTGATGAAAGCTTTTTAGTCACCACTAAGGAGCCCATATATCATAAAGACTATTGAATTTTAAAATCTGTTGCATCTTAGTTTCCCTAGACGTTATCCTTTCAGTGTTTTCTTTCCTAGTTTGTTTAATTTCACATTATAAATACTAAGGTATAAATAACAGAATTACCCTCTCAATAGGTCTATTCATTTGTAGACTTATTTAGCATCTGATTCAAATTACTTTTTGCAGACATAATATGGTATAAACTTAATATTTCTAGGTGACTGTGAGAGAAATACGTTAAAATAAGAATTCACTAATTATTTATTGGGGGCCTCCTATGCCATAAGTCCTGGGATCTGGGGAAATGAAGAAGAGTTTGACCAGTTTCAGCTGTCCTGGATTTCACAAACATGTAGGGCAGCAAACATCTAGATCAGGGTCTCAAAGTGGGATCTCTGGACCAACAGCATAAGCATTACCTGGCAAACTGATAGAAATGCAAATTCTTGAGCCCTACTGAATCAGAAACTGTGGGGTGAGGCCCAGAAAACCTGTGTTCTAATAAGCCCTCCAGGTGATTCTGATGCATGCTAAAGTTTGAGAACTCCTGGTGTAGGCGTATTTAAATATAATGCAATAAGTACAATAGGAAATGTGTACATAGCAGAGAGGCAAAAATTATTAACTCTATTTTTGGTAAATGTGGAGGATCCAGGGAGGCTTCTTTTGTAGGAAATCTCGTTATAAGTGTAAAGGGTAGCAAGTTTGTGAGTCACTGTGTAGAATATGGTTTCGTAGACGTAGAGTTTGGTAAATCTAGGGTGAGACCTTTTCAAAGAGCTTGATAAAGACTTGGAATAATTAAAACCTATTAATTGCAAGCAGTGGTTCTTAATTTATTGGTGGGACTTTTGGGTGGGTGGGGGAGCAAAAAGTGGTCTCAATTCAGATAAAATTGAGAATGGATTGGAGATAGAATAAGTCTGCCTCATTCATGTATGAATTAGGATGTTTCAAGTCCCAACTAAAAATACATATTTATTTAAAAGCATTACCGAGCTCACACTAGCCCTCTGTCATGTACTTTTGCAGTAGATAACATAGCAAGATAGAGACATGGAATCGAGAGAGATGTTTAGATTCAAATACTGACTTTCCCACTTACTGTATGATTTTGGGTAAATTGATGAACTTCTCTAAGCCTTAATTTCTGCATCCAGAAACTAGTGATAATACTATTCCTGCCTCATGTGTTTGTTAAGAAATAACACACCCAAGATAATCAGGCATAAAGCCTGGCCATAGTAAGTGCTCATACAATGATACGCATTATTATTTTTTTTTACAAAGCAAAGAGTTTTATAAAGGCTTGGAGTATTTTTTAATAAACAAAATAATAGAACATTTTTTTCATGATTAAAAAATTGTCTCCAAGTTAAAAAGTGATCTAGACCACAATGTTGTACTTACCTAATAGAAAAATGTGATGTAGAACACATTAGTCCAAAGTCAGTTGCTTTCACTTATTTATTTCCTTTTTAATTACAGAGACCTTTCAGTTTATTTCCAAGAGGCACCATGGTTTCCCCTTCAGCCTCACCTTTTTCCTGAATGGGATGCAGGTGAACAGGTTGAGCTCCTGCTGTGAATATAAGCATCGGAAAGGTTCCAGACTTGGAGGCAAAGGAGGCTACTTCGGGTTTGTGTGTGTGGAAAGATCATCTCCTTGCTACAAGTATGGAAACAAATGTTTTCCAAAAACAAAATGTTATTTTTTTTCCTTTTCTTTCTTTTTCCCATTCCTTTTAATAGCTGGTTTTGGGCTGTGCCGCAGAGCATGTGCAAGCACCTGGCTTATCAGGTTGAGTGTTATAGGTTATTCATTTCAGAGCTGTGACTGCATTATGGTGTGGCCCAAATATCATTCTCATGGCCCTAGTTTTAATCTCACAAAATGCATGAGAAAAGGTCAGTTTTGATTGTTGTTTATCAACTTCCATATTGAATATTCTGTTTGAAATTGGGGCACTTGCTTGAAAACCTTCTTTAATTTTTTCTGAAAGTACTCACGGAGAATTGAATATAAGGTCAAGTGAGAATATAGCAGTGAACCAGAGTTCCTCCCCCCCATGGAGCCCATTCTAATGGGGGAAGGGAAAATAAAATTCCAATCAAACAGTCTATATATATCAGATGGTAATATGCACGAGGAACACAAAACAGGGTGAAGGAGATAGATATAGGTAGTGAGGGCGGGGACAAAGGCCAGAGGGTGGGATTTTTTAATATCTGGTAGTCTGATATCTTATCAGTCTCTGATAAGATATCTTTTGAGCAGAAAATAGAAAAAATGTTTCCTCCTTCAGAGTTTTTCAGGTAGAGGAAAAGCATATACAAAGGGTGTGAGGCAGGAGCATGCTTTCGTGCCAGAGCTAGTGTGGCCAGAGCAAAAGTAAGGAATGGAGCAATGATAGAAGAAGAGGTCAAAGAGCCAGTGGAGCCAAGTCATGTGGAGTCCGAAGGTCATAGCAGGGACTTTCACTTTTATTCTGAGAGACACGCAAAGACTCCTTGGTAAGTTTTGGGCAATGACCTGTTATATTTGACAGTAGCTCCTATGGCAAAAATAAATCAGGAAGGCTGGTGAAAGGGTGGAAACTACTTTAATCCAGAGGAGAGAAGATGGTAGACAGAGAATTGATTGGGTTCTAGACATATTTTGAAGATGGAGTTTACAGAATTTTTTGATGAATTGGATATAGGACATGAGATAAAGAGCAAAGCCAAAGATGATTGGAAAGTTTTTGGCTTGAACAACTGGAAAGATGTCCAGTTAACTCTACTGTGATTGAGAAGACTGGAAAAAACAGGTTTGAAAGTGGAATGAAGGGACTTTGGTTTTGGGCAAATTAAGTTTAAGACATCTATAAGTTCCAAAATGAGGTCCAAGTTGGAAATACAAATGTGAGAATGGTTTGCATATAGATGACATTCAAATCATATGATGAGTTGAGATCGCTTAAGAATTGAATGCAAATAGGGACGATGCCTGCCCACTCCAGTTCAAAAATGAGAGACATAAAGAGGAATCAGCAAAAGGCCTAAGAAAGAAAGCCAGTGATTAGAGAGGAACTTAGAGAGAGTGGTGTCCTGAAAATGAACAAAAGGTTTGAAGAGAAAGGCATGACTAACAGCACTGAATGTGCGATAGGTGAAGTAAATGAAGAACTGAGGATTGAGCATGACTTGGTAAAGTGTTGGTTATTGTTGACCTTGGGACAAACTATAGTGAAGAGTAGGAATGCAAGTTTGATTGGTGTGGGTTTAAGGCATAATTGGAAAAGAGCTAAGGCCAGAGGATATAGATAATTAGTTTTATAAAAAGTTTTGCTATAAAAGAAGGAAACTGAGTAGCAGTCAGGAGGAGAATGTTGGGGTCAGAAAGGGCTTTTTTATTTTTTAAGGTGGAAGGTAGTATAATATGGCTGTATGCTGATAGATAGGATTGATACTCTGGAGAAGTAAAAATTGTTACTCTGGAGAAAAATAAAATTGATCAAGCATGACATAGAGGGAGAAGGTGCTGAAGCAAGGTGCCGGAGTGGACTAGAGATGGCACCCAGGGCTCAAGTGGAAGAGCTAGCCTTAGAGGAGAAGCATTGTACTAGCAGGTGGAGAGATGGCTTGTAGAGTAGAGAGAGATGTAAGTTGGTGGATGCGTTTGGACAACCTGGGAGGTCTCTGCTGATTGCTTTTATTTTTTCAGTCAAACAAGAATTTATCAATGCAGTTAAGTCTGGGGGAGGAGGGATTTAGAAAGTTTAGGAGAGAGAGAGGAGGTGTGAAAATTCATCCAGCAAGTGGGAGAGCGAATGGCAGGATAATAGGATTGCTCAGGTGTACTTCGGACCCACCAGAAGTTGTTTTTATGTTTCAACTCAAATATTCTTCCTCCGTATTTTTGGGCCAGCCATTTAATGAATGACTCTTTAACTCTCAGGAAAGCGAATGGGCTTATATACAATCATCCATGTGCATTCTTTGGGACTTGCTGTGTAAATCCAAGCTGCCAATGTTTGGTCCTAATCACTTTCAGTGGAGGCTTAATAATCAATTCCAAAATCTGATTGATGCCATCTACTCTCCTATTTGACACTTACTAGCCTTTAGGCATTTCTTTACATGGTTTCACTTAGTCCCTGCTAGCTTCTTTCTTTGATGTTTTCAAATAATAATGGCAAAACAGTTGTGTAATTAGAGCAAGATTTATTACCCTTAACTAAAAGACACACTTCTTATAAGACATTGGTTTTATTTTTTAATTTAATTTTTATTTTTTTAAAACTTAAAAAGTATTTTAACCTTTTGACTGCCTTCACCCATTTTTAGTTTTTTGTTAGCTTCATAATCGTTTCAAGTAAAATCTGTGAATGTCCAAAGTAGAACAGTGTGGTGTCACTTGATGTCTCCCTGCTGTAGACCAGGTAAAAGCTGAGACAGACTGATCCAGGTGGGGCAGAGACGAGTGGGTGAGTGCCGGAACCTGGCCTGTTTGGCGCTGCTTTCCTTCACACTGCTCTGATACCAACACTGCAGAACTCCAGTGAAAGCTGAGAACTACCCCTGAGGAGAACGATATCACCTATAATATTGTATAACCTTTGTTTTTTTATTGTCACATCCACAATAATGCTTTTAGTTATTTTTTCTTATTCTTCCAATTTGTTAAAAATGAAATTAATTTATTCATTTTAAAAACAGTGGTTCCTGGAACTTTTATTATGATAAAATAAAATAGTAGGGAATTCCAGTACTAAAAATGATTAGGAATTACCTACTTAAGGTTCTCAGAAAACAAGAAAAGCTCAGCAGTGGACACTTCCAAAGTGTAGAGGTTAAAACAGTTGTTATATATCCCACAACCATGGGAACTGTTCAAAAAGACATGGTAGTTTCAGTTACTAGAGTGAAACACAGGAAGAAGGATTCCTAACTGAGTAGAATGCAGACAGCTTTGAGTTTAGTAATCAACACCTCAAATTATACTCAGAAGTCAACCAGGTAGTCAGTGATGAGGAAAGCACAGATGTTACTCACTTTGTTTGTCCAATTCCCTTAAGCAGATGGGCAATAAAAAGTCTGTGCATGCAGTAGGGAGGCATCAAAGCATCCACACAGTCACAACATAAACTTAAAGTAACAGCATAGCAGAGGCTCCAAATCAATGGATTTGGTGTTGCCATGGGTAAGGGAAGAGCAGTGTGAACAGAAGGCAGTGCAGGTAATCATATTCTGTGAAGATTCATGATACTTTTATTTTAAGTAAAGCAATACCTGGCTTCATCCTTGAAGTCAGTATTTGTCATGCTTGATATGGGTGAGGTAAGTGTATCCTTATTATCTCATTTTTACAGCCTGATCGTTAATTTGAGTGCAGGTCCTTTTAGTTTCATTTCATGAGGAGATATTCAAAAGTGACATAACTAAGTTGTCATATTTGCTTGTTGGGAGAATTCATTCCTATGCTACTTCTAGACCAGAGATGGCTGAAATTCAGTGAATCTTGAGTTTAAGAAATTGCCATTGGGTTTGATTCACATTGAGGCAATTTTCAAATCTTACATATTATTTCTATTCTTCCAGGACTGACAAGTCTTGATTGCATTCTGATCTCTTTTTTACCTGCCCACTCTATTTGATTTAGTTTCCTGATAATTGTGTAACCTGTAGAGAAGGGGATGTGTATATTTCTAGAGAAGGAGTATGGAGACTGAGAAGAGCCAAGCACCTTTTCCAGGTCAGGGATGGCCTCTAGAGCTTATTGACAACTTCTCCAAATTCTGTTAATTTGGGGTAGGGAGTGTGAATACTTTCCCTGGTGGTAAACCCAGTAGCATAATATTTGTCTGTGTAGCTAGTCCTCTGAGAGGACTATACTTGTAACCTAGCAATATTTTTGTACTTCACTGTGAAGTCATGGAGTTTAATAGTCCTGAGCTGGAATCCAGCTCCATCACTAACCTGCTGGGTAAGCTTGGGCATGTCATGGAACCCTTTAAGCCTCAGATTCCTCACTGAAAAGTAGTGATGATAGTTTAATTTATTGTTCTGTGGTGTAATAAACCTGGTAAAACAATGCATATATAGGGTACAAAAAGAAGAGCTTGCACAGAGGGAGTGCACTGCAATCTTATTATTATAATCATTTTATTAATGTATATATTATCATTATGAGAATCCTGATTTTGATATTAACTTGAGAGATAGGAAAAAAGTATGGAAGAATTTATTCATGTGACTTGTTGTAACTGACTAAAAAATTTTTTTTAAATGTCTTAATACATGCATATTATCTGCTTGGCTCACCAGATTTGACTTTGAATGACTTTATGACCTCTGCACATTATTGCCTTCTTTCAAGAACAAAGCTTATATCCAGTAAAGGTCACCAAAGACTGTGGTACAGGTTTCAAAAGGCCATTCTAAGAGCAATAATGACAGTTCTATTAAAATAAGCATGAAGGTTCCTGAGGTGTTTGTTTAAAGGGCACAACAACATGTGACTGTATATGTTTCTTTAAAAATCAATCATGCTTATTTAGAGTCCACCTGGCATGTAAGTCTTTTGTTGTTGTGTTGGAATAATAAATTATCATGGACTGAATGGCATCTTTCTTTTTCTGAATATTTTTATCTCAGCTTCCCTGTGTTTGCAAACCTGGATGTTCTTTTATCACATAATTCTCATTTAAGGGTTTGAATGATATATATACTATATATATTGGACTCTGTTATAAGGCAAAAAATTTGCTTTAAGGCACTAATTTTAGTTTGGGACTAAAGTTCTTAGTGGTTATTTTCTTCTTATTGTGTGTAAAATTATTAAGAATTTGTTGTGCTCATTATAAGATTTTAGTATTAATAAAAAGAAAAGAGTTTAATTTTAGTTATTTATGTACTTTAATAAAATACTTCTTTCAACACTTCTTACAAGAATAAGAGAAAATGATTTAAAAAGCTTTGCGGTTCCACTGTGCTGTATATAAATGTTAATGAACACTGCATGTCAATTTTTCTCCTAGGTGCATTATTGCAATGGGCCTTGACAAAAAACCAACTTCACCAAAACTTCGGAAACAAAAAAGTGTTGAGACAAGAGAGGAACTGAAAAAAGGTGAGGGGAAACTGAGGAAGGATAGAGCATACGTGATACCAAGAAGGAACAGGATGGAGGGGAGCAAAACCTCTGCTTCAGTCTTTTTTTCAGCCGAGGAAGAAGGGACAGGGGTGGAAGAAGTGAGAACGGCTGTGGAAGAGATGGAACGTAAAGGGAAGCAGCAGGCCTGGGAGGACGGCCGGGAAGACATCCTTCAGTACGGTAAGGCGACGGCCACGGGGGCTCTTTTGCTGTTACTGCTGTTGCTCTTCTGCTTAAGTCTTTAAAAGGTGATCATCAAAATTTGCAAAACTATCCACTAAGCGTTGTTGCGCAGTTACGGCGTTTAGGTAATTCTGTTGCACGTGAGGACCCCTGGCCACCTTCCCCCGCTGCTTTGCGTGGAGCCCTGTGCCGCCCGCCTTGGAGGAGGGCAGGCCTAACTCCAGGGGGTGGAGGG